GGTTGCGATCCTGTTGCCAGTCCTGGTCCGGTACGGGCGCAACACTGAGGGTTGCGATCCGTTGCCGGACACGAAAAAAAAAAATGAGACAAATTAAGCCTTTCCTAGATAAACAAAAGCTGAGGGAGTTAATTACCTCTAGAACTGGCCCATAGAAATGCTAAAGGTAATCCTTTAAGGTGAAATGAAGTATGCTAGGCGCAATCAGATGCCACATGAAAACACAAAGGTCTCTGGTAAAGGTAAACATACAGACAAATATAGAAACATGGATTATTGTAATTTTGGTTAATAAATTCACTCTTAATTTAAAAAGGAAAATGTAAAAATCTACAAGTCTGGGTTGCGATCCGTTGCCGGACACGGAAAAAGACAAAAGACAAAAAAAATAAAAAATAAAAAAAAAAATAACACAGTGAGGGGCAGAGCTGTAAAGGTATGTTAATGGTTACACAATATATATAGATGTAATTTGGGACATTAATAACACAGTGAGGGGCAGAGCTGTAAAGGAGCTTTTATATGTGATTGAATTAATTTATTAGTTTAAAACAGGTGGTTATAACTTTAAGATATTTTATATAATACCTGTGGTCCTCACAAAGAAAATACCTATAGAGCATACACAAAAGGAAATGAGAAGAGAATCAAAGTCCCACTTCAAAAAATCAACTAAACACAAAGGAAGACAATAAGAGGAAAGGAGAGACAAACAAGCTGCAAGACACATACCAAAAACAACTAACAAAAGGCAATAGTTATAAATATCAGTCCCTAGAAGTACTACTTTAAATGTAAATAGATTAAACCCCCCTAGTCAAAAGACACAGATTGGCTAACTGGGTACTAAGTCAGGATTCAACTACCGTAATGAGCTGTAGTTATGTGGCTCACATATGATGTTTCAGTCGATGACAGACTGCAGATACGAGATGGTGGCCCTATAAGATTGCATTGATGCTAAAAAATTCCCATTATAACATCATAGTGCAGTACATTACTCGTGTTTGTAGTGACGCTGGTGTAAGCAAACTTACTGCTCTGCCAGTCATGTCAAAGTATACCCCATAC